GCCATCTCGGCTGACAGCGATGGATTTGTCCGAAATGTCACGGTTACATTGTTACATTCCCTTCCTGCTCTTGCTCAATAACTAAGCCCATTTCGCTTCATTGAAAAAACAAGCCGAAATACTGTTCCGACTGATTTGTTGTGAGAGAAAAACACTGTTCCGGCTGGAAAAAAAAAACAAACTAAAAAATACGGATTATAAGACAAGCGAACATGACGTAAATGTACATCTATCTATTTTAATACGTTTTGGAAGCAGACTCTTTACTGCGATTGAACGTGTCTAATTCTAACTCGTATAAATATGAGCTGTAAGTTTGGGTCACGAATAATGAGACAATACAAACAATTAAGACTCTAATCTTTGATAAAACTTTATTGGAGGAAGAAATTTTTGGCTCTTTAACGTTGTGGTGGTGACTGGGCGCTAGCACCTGTTGCGTGCTGTGTGTGATTTGCATTTACGGTCTTGTTTGTTTTCTCTCTAAACTTTAGTCTCTATCACATCAGATGTTTGACACATACATAGAGTATTAAATATAGATTCAAAAATAACTAATTGTATAGATTGTGACTAATTTGCGAGATAATTTTTTTAAACCTAATTAGTCCATGATTTGATAATGTGGTGCTACAGTAACACATACGTTAATGATAGATTAATTAGGCTTAATAAATTAATCTCGTGGAATACTAACGACTTGTGTAATTTGTTTTATTGTCTCGTGGCACCGATGTGACAGCTCTGAACTTCAGCCCCAGAATTTAAACAAGAGCACGTCGTGGCGTGGTTGAGGAACGGTATAATTAACGACGGATGGATATAGCGCAACTGGCATGACAATTGACAACCATCATGCATTTGGCCACTTGGGGATGGTGGATCGCCCGATCGAGTTGCTGCCTTGCAAAGGTTGCCAAATTCAATGCAAAACGGCACTGGCCGTGCGTGGCCTCCCGATTTCTCTGCAGCATCTCCGTACCTTGCTAGCTAGCACTCGTTCAATCATGGGTTTGAAATAGTAAGTTTCATTTGGTGGCACACCGTCCCACAAAAGAGTGTCATTCTCACTTTTTTCTAATTAAAAAGTCAAATATTTTCAACTTTAATTATGAACTTATTTGGAGATATAAATGTTGTTAATTTTTCTACAAATCTAGTTAAATTTAAGAAAGTTTGATCGGAACAAATCTCATAACGACATTTGTTTTAGACGGACAAAGTACACCTTTAGCTTTAGGTGGTGAGATCATGAGAAAGCAAGTAGACACTACGGATCCGATCGGATGGTTGAGATTGACAGATTCGATGGATGGACTTACATCATTCTTTATTTGCGAACGTCCCTTAGCACGTGTTTCATAAGAGGGGTCAAACTATAAATTTACAAAAGCAATGACAAGCCTAGGCTTGCTAAGAGAATCGCCGACAATTTCTAATACTCTTTTCCAAAATTTGATTTTAGGCATGACAAAGAAAACCGCAGTCTAGCCCTTCGTAAAACAGACACTCCATGTCTATCCACGCCGTGGAAAGGTACGCGAGTAAGCAGGACTCCCTATCCATGTTGGCGCACAGTCCTCTTCCTTTTCCCACCATTTTTTCAAGTAGCGCCAAGTCTCTTTGCCGGCGCCGACGTCTGCCCTAGCTATTCGGAAGACATGAACTCTAGTTACTACCCTTGAAAAATGGTAAAACTAGAGGTTGCCGCCCTCCTTGTGCCCTCTCAGTTGTCGGCCTGCAATAGCTATTAGCTAGCCATAGTTGTTGCCTGCCATGCTCTGGCTGACGTTTGGCTTGCCATGGCTAGCTACCATGTCATAGTCGTGGCAGGACGCCTTTGGCTGGCCACAGCCACAACCATACATCCTCTGGCCAGTTGCAACCACCTTGATAGAGGAAAGAGCAAGTAGCACGGTAAGAAGGTCTTTTGACTCGGCCAAATTATTAGCAACAAAATGTTGCTAATAGCCGCAACCCAATAATCAGCCACGAAAATGACCCAACTAAATCCGCAACGACGTCCCCACATGATCAGAGATTCTTCTATTTTGTCCCTTTCACAACATCCATGTGGTGAGAAGGTAGAGCATCAAAGCATTTGTAACATTCCTTTGCGACCTTTTCCCTCTCGTTCAACCACAAGTCGACAATCCTCCCTGAACCCCTCGGTACAGATGCAGCAAATCCTAGCGGAAACAGGAGCCTTGACCAAGTTTCCCTTGCAAAATGCAACCCACAATCAAATGATCAATAGTTTCAGGACTTGATCACAAAGAATGCAAGCATGAGAGTCCTGCAATTGATTCCTCCTACGATGATCAATTGTCTAGCACCGATCAAGAAGCGTGATATACATTACATAAGTTTCACTAGTCGGTGCACACCGTCTGGGTGTGCCTCTAGATTGTCTAGGGACTCTAGATATAGAAACCTTAGTTTCAAATGCGGGGTTTTGTCCCGGTGGACCGTTCGTGTGCATTGGTGGATGGCTAGACGGTCACTATGAATGCACCGAGGTACAATCTCAAGCTTGTCAAGAATGGATCGGGCCAAGTCTTCATGCCGGGCTTGTCCCTGGATGTTCCTAGGGACCTCTCGGATACATCTAGGATGGTATATCAGTGGGTTTGTACATGGGTGAAGCGCTAGGATATTCATGGCTAATCTACCATGTTTTGGGGATTCTAGGTTGAAACCTATGGCTTGCTTCTAGAGTTTGCCAAGAACTTACATAAGATTGATGAAGATTCAAGCTTGGGACCCTTAGTAGGTGTAAGAGGTTGAGGTGGGGTCCTTCTTGCTCATCCGCTTTTACTTCTTCACCAATGCTTGAGAGGTGAGCACTCGTTGCTCCTTGTTATCAAGGGTGGATGGTCTTGGGGAATGAGGCATATCTCCACACGAGAGCGGTGATAGGCATCAGTGATGGGCGAGGAAGGCGGGTCATCATGAAAACCGTCAACTACGGCGCGCGTCCCACATGAAGCTTTCCCCTAGAAGGAACAATCGAAAGCGGCGGAGGTGAGGCACCATGGCGATCCACCCTTATATGATGTGTAACCTACACGAAATACAGGGAGGCATAGCCATCATCATCATCCAAGGCAGCCTAAGCACTAGCCGATTAAGTGATCGAGGAACTGTAATTTAGCCAAATCCATGGTCATAGCAGAGGACGGCACCCCGGGCACCATGCATGTAGAAGAACGGTGGGACAGGTTGAGCGGTGACGCCGAACCGTCTTTGACGAGGCTAGGGGAAAGACAAAAACAAATAAAATGCGGAGGGGCACGCAGCAGGCAAGAGGCCCGGATGACCTAAGTGGCCACGTGGCGGCCGAATAGGTTGCCAGGTCAGGAGTGGTCATTGACACGTGGCTGAAGGCGTTGGAGCCCGTGCGCCCACACACGATTCTAGATGCACTTGATTGACTTGGCGAGGCGCGTTTCCCATGTGAGACAAGTGTCGTCCTACTGTCCTACTCTCCCAACGAATGGGATCATCAAGAGCCGGCCGGGCAAGCCGATCATACATACATACATACATACATACGTGAGCAAGCAAGCGTACAGAGCAAGTGTGCCGACGGAAGGAACACGAAAAAGGAAGGATGGAAAAGAAGAGGCGGGGAGTGAGCGATGCATGTACGACGACGGACGGATAACACGCTGCGCAGGGAGGCAGGGACCGATGGACGACGCGACAGAGACAGACGCGATATCGATGGATCGGAACGTGGTAACCACCAGCGTGCGAGGTCGAGGCCAGGTCATGAGTTGCAATGCTGTATGGCCGATGAACCGTACATGCATGCATATGCATCCGATCCATCGCGCCCGCGCGTGGATCACGGACACGGGGGTAGCTTGTGCTGTATGCTAGCCTAGCCTGCAGGTATCCCAAACGAAAGTCCTGTCGCGTCGCGTTGCGAGTCATGTCGAGGAGCGTGCGTGTGTACGCATGTGCAGCGTGGAATTGCGCCAGAGTACAGTGTACGCAGTGAGTTTAGTGACGAAGCTGATAGCGGAGGAGCGTGATCGAGCAGACACGAGAGCGTCGGCGCACGTCGAGCCGCGAGCGCGGATCGGAGAGGTGGGCACGCTCCACAAGACGGTAGCGCTCTTGCTGTACCGTGCGGAGGTACACATACCAACATACGGTAGGTAGGTACGGTAGGTAGAGATGGATCACGAACTCAGCTCAGCGAGACACGTCCGTCCAGCCGTCCGTATCTCTCTTTGACACTTTGTCTCTTTCCCAGCGACTGAGAGATATATATGCAATGCATGCATCCTAGGAGAGAAGGGGAGAGACAGGCCGAGAGGGGGAGAGGTCATTTTGTGCTTATCGGTGTCCAGGGCACGATTATTCGTTCCCAGGATACAAATACATGGCCACCACACCACACGTACGTACTCGGATGGGATCGGATCCTCCCAAGTGCAAAGGAACCAAGCAACCAACCCAGCATGGGGACCTCTAGTCGATCTAGCTACCAAATTGTGCCGTACGTACGTATATAGGAGGAGTACATCCTAGTATTCGCAAGCTGTCGACGATCGCCACGGCGTCCGTCGCTCCAATGGTTGGCCGTCGTTCGCTATCACACCATGTGAGTCCATGACTCATCATCGGTCACCATCACCACACCACACACGAGCCCGAGCCGTTGCCGGGTGTTTTCCAAAAATGAATTGAATAAACTAATCGCACGCACCTCCCATCCAGCAGCCGGCCGTGTTCGTCGACAGCAACGCCAACGGCCAGCAGCTGCTATATAGCACCACCCCCACGGATCGCAGCATAGCCGAGCCAAGCGCCACAAGCACACTGACACACGCGCACACACGCAGGCTCTCTCGCTCGCCCAGCTGCACTGCAGCAGTTGGTACTTGGTAGGTGCCACTTAGCTAGCTAGGTGCCGTTGCTTTCTGCGCCCGCGGCCGCCCCGCGCGTGGTCTGTCTCTGGTCTCGCCTCTTGCTACCACCAGTGCGAGATGATGAAGGTGTCGGTGCCGGCCGCGGTGCTGGCGCTGTGCGCGGCGGCGCTGCTGCTGCTGGCGCAGGCGCCGTCGGCGGCGGAGGCCTCGCACCATCTCAAGCTGGGGTACTACAAGGAGACCTGCCCCGGCGTGGAGAAGATCGTCAAGTACCACGTCGCCAAGGCCATCAAGGCCAACCGCGGCGCCGGCGCCGCGCTCGTCCGCCTCATCTTCCACGACTGCTTCGTCAGGGTATGTCATCTTAATTCCACGACTGCTTCCCAATCTAATTTACTCCTCATATATATCAAGCACGTAACAAGGGTCGCGCGTGTCATCATGCTGTTGTATGTCATGGTAACAACTAACAGAGAGTCCTAACAACACACTCCTCCATCTCTACTTTATTTGATGACGACCTCGATCCTCTTTTAATTTTGACGATAACCACCACGGGCATCTTCTCAAAGTTCCAACAAGCAGCTAGCTTGTATCTTAGCTTTCAGCAGACCAGCAGCTAGCGGCAGCAGGCAGTCCATATCCTCACCACGGCAGCATCATTGCTACACTGCTGTGTCCTGCTTTTGAATAGTCTGAGAGACTGAGGACTGAGGTCTTGTTTAGTTTTCTCTCAAAACTTTACATCTTATCACATCGAATGTTTAGACATGTGTATGGAGTATTAAATATAGACTAAAAAAATAATTAATTACACCGATTGTGACTATTTTGTGAGACGAATCTTTTAAGCCTAATTAGTCCATGATTTAACAATATGGTGGTATAGTAACACATATGCTAATGACGGATTAATTAAGTTTAATAAATTCGTCTCGCGGTTTACTGATAGATTCTGTAATTTATTTTTTTATTAGTATCTAAACACCCTATACGACACCTCATATAATATTCGATATGATACTTCAAAACTTTACGCCTGAATCTAAACGAGGCCTAAGATGAGATGCCCGCCCTCTCCTCCCAGTTTCGTGCCACCAATTCATGCATGCATTATATATATTATATATATATATATATTATGGCGCCTAAAGAAAAGAAAGAAAAAACTTTACTTCTTCTTCCCCTCTTCTAGCCGTCTAGCTGGAAAGAAAGAGATGCATGGAAGAAATCGCTCGGTCAGGAAGGACCAGGAACAGGAATGCGATATACTTTCCTTAAGCTTGGAGACTTGGAGCACTGCCTCCGTCCCTAAATATTCGTCGCTATGATTTACGTATCGATAACTTTGACTCGATTTATAGAAAATACGTGTAATATTTTTATCTTTAAATAAATTTATTAAAAAACTAGATTCAAATATCTATCCAATGATACTAATTATATATCATAAATATTAATATCTTTTAATATATATTTAGTCAAAGTTATTTCTCAGAAAACGAAAACGACAGACATTTAAGAAGAGAGTACTTACTAGCTTATAAAGGACTCCTTTTAGGTAGGGGCCCCCATATACATACAGTACATGTGTGTCCCTGTCCTTGCTGAGTGCAGCTTCCATGTGTCCCTGATTGCTAAATGATAGCTAACATATGCAGCCCCACCAGGCATTTATTTCTTGACTCTTTCTCTAGTACCAATAATCAGTCACATTGTTATCATTATTATATATCTTTATCATTTTTTAGAGTAATATATCTTTATCCTGATGCTAAGAATTAGCCTCTTTTGTTTTTTTTGGAAAATGCAATTAGCCACATGCATGTAGCAGATTTTGATTCTTCTTGACCCATGCCATTTGCAAGCCAGCCCATGCATGCATGTGGCATAGAACGAATGGATGGAATGTGGATAGATGGAGATGCTTCAACTTTTGTTTATGGCATGAAAACCGGAGTTGGAAAGAGCTACAAGGAAGAGAAGAGGAATTGAGATGCATGACCGACGACTAGCATTTAGTCACACACAGTCATCCTCCACGCCATCAATTAATCATTGGCTCCACTAGTCCCATTAAAAAATTGAGTACTCATAGGAAACCTCCAAAGCCTCCAGCTAACAATGCAATGCAATGCTTTTCGGCTTTTGCTATTAGTATATAGGAAAGAAAAAGGCATCCATTTGTAAACATAAACATATATAGTCCATGCATGAATGCACAAACTCTACGTTTGTCTCGTGATGTGCACATATCTCAATGTGAAACGTGTGGTCCACAATGCGAGGGCACGTGCCCACAAGGGCACACTTTACTTTCCCCAAACTCTATATATACTATCCTTTCCCAAAATGAAAAAGCATACGAGTATGATAATTATTCCTGAGGCGCATGAATGCATATACATAGCACTACGTGCACAGGCAGGTCATCTCAAAATTAATGGAACGACAGTGTTATTTGTATAGCAAGTATGCTTGTTGCACAGCCTGCAAATAAATACAGAGACATATCATTTCATCCAAAATAAAAACTCTTCTTTAGCAGTACACTAAACAGTTTATGAACAATATTATAATAATGTCCTAAAATGTACATAATGCATAACAACCCATATGCTGATATGCATCATCCTCTGCCGACACTACATATGGACATCCCTTTCCAACGCCTCATCCGATGGAGAGCGTGTTTGAGGTCCAAACAGATTAAGCTAGTTGTATTTTATTATTAAAACCTCCATCTCTATCTATCACTACCGACGAAATGACTTGCCATGCACACTTGACACGTCACTCTACAGCAACAGCAACAGCAACAGGTTGTTACACACTACTAGTAGTACTTAGTGCTAGCTAGCTAGTAGTTGAGCCATTTAATTGCATTGCATCAGTACGTAAGTACTGAGTAGGAGTATGTACGCACGTATTGAATCAATCAAATGAAATAATGTGCAGGGGTGCGACGGGTCGGTGCTGCTGGACCCAACGCCGGCGAACCCAAAGACGGAGAAGACGGCGCCGATCAACATCGGCCTGGCAGCATTCGACGTGATCGACGACATCAAGGCGGCGCTAGAGAAGCACTGCCCCGGCACCGTCTCCTGCGCGGACATCGTGGTGTACGCCGCCCGCGACGCGTCGAGCATCCTGAGCAACGGGCACGTCCACTTCGCGGCCCCGGCCGGCCGCCTCGACGGCGTGGTGTCCCGCGCCGCCGACGCGCAGCGGGACCTCCCGGACTCCACCTTCACGATCGCCGAGCTGATCCGCAACTTCCGGCGGAAGAACTTCACGGTGGAGGAGCTGGTGATCCTGTCGGGCGCGCACGCCGTCGGCGTCGGCCACTGCTCGTCCTTCCGCGCGCGGCTGTCCTCCCCGCCGACGCAGATCGTGCCGGCGTACCGGAACCTGCTGTCGGCAAAGTGCGGCGCGGGTCCGGACCCCGTGGTGCCCAACAACGTCCGCGACGAGGACCCCCGCGCCGTGGCGGCGTCGTTCCCGTCGTTCCTCAAGAAGCTCCGGAAGGCGAGGGAATTCTTGGACAACAGCTACTACCACAACAACCTGGCAAGGATCGTCACGTTCAACTCCGACTGGCAGCTGCTCACGGAGAAGGAGGCGCTGGGGCATGTGAAGGAGTACGCCGAGAACGGCACGCTGTGGGACGAGGACTTCTCCGACGCGCTCGTCAAGCTCAGCAAGCTGCCCATGCCGCCGCACAGCAAGGGGGAGATCAGGAAGACATGCCGCTGGGTCAACCACGACCACTGATGATCTGATCTCTATCTATCCATTACTGGCCTATTACCTGCAGTGTCTCCTGCGTGCACCGGAAATTGTGATTACTTACTAGTATACAAGATGGATCATCATCATGTCGATCGGCTCATTTGATTTTTCTTCTTCTTATTGGTTTTATTGTTGTATGTTTGTTTGATTATTTATTTCCTGACATTCATGTGTTTTTCATCATTTCTGAATTTTACACACATAATATGCATGTTTTTTCATCGGGTAGGATGTTGGGATCGATGTGGTTGATCTGTCGTTGTATCTTGTTCTTTCTTTTCTGGAGTATGGACAAACTAATAAAACAAATTAAAGGTGGATGACATTTGATATGCATGTAGGGAGGCGTGCATGAATGATGGAATAATAATGGTCGTCCAAGAAAGTAGAGCAAGACCTTTTTTTTTTTGGCGACAGCTCCTCCAGCTTCAGCTTGCTCCTGACATGCGCATTCTCCTTTTCTTTCTCCAACCCAAAATACACTACAAAATGAAGAAACCGGTGAAGCCGGAATTTAGGGGCTTCACTGGCTTTTGCTGCAGTACCTAAATAGTGGTGAAGCAGAAGCCAAAATAAGTCTTGCCAAAATACTTGTATGTATACTATGCCCCATTTTTGCACCACTCCCCCAGCCGCTCTGCCTCTATCTTCACGACTCTGCTAACAAAAGGGCAAGAGGAGAAACAACTCCGCTTAGAATTCACGCCGAGAAGAGCTGAACAACGCATTATAGTTTTGGTGAGCTCCGTCTTCCGCGTGGTCACTGGCCCACCCCAAAATGCCCCTCCTCCATGGCAACGTAGGGTACAGTGTGGGTGGCGCTCGAAGGTAAAATTGCCAACGTCGACGTTGACGGAGGAAAGCGAAGGGAGGGGAGCAGTAGTGTCGAGGCGGTGGTGAGGAAGGCAACGTAGTTATGGAGAAGGAGGTGAGGGAGGCGGTGCGAGCGGGGAGGGACGAGCGGATAAGAAAGAGAGAAAGGGAAGAAAAAATAAAAGACATAGGACAACAGAGAAAATAAAGGAAGAAAAAAGAAAAAAAACAGAGAAAAAGACATTATAGATATTTTATCGTTTTTTACCTATGACAAAATATCTTGCCAAACCAGAAAAACAAAAGGTTGTTCCACCGAGGAAGCAGAACGAGAGTAGTTTAGGTCCTATTTGGATCAAAGGAGATGATAGTTATAATTAGCTCCTTGAGTCCTAACAGGTCTAGCTAATTGTTAGCTGAATACTTAACTAACAACTATTTTACTAGTTGAACAAAACTAGTTAATAGCAGCTAATATTAGTTGTCGCCAATTAGCTAGCTAACTACTCTACTAGTAGCTAATGGACCTCTTATTGGAGCAGCTCTACCAAATTAAATGCATCTTAGGACTAGGAGTAACACAGTGTCTGATCCAGTGGCTCATGGGCTTGCATTGGGAACTAACAATCAATAAATCCTACTGTACATAGAATCTGGGACCAAGCATATGCATGTCGTGATGGTGGGTGGATGGAATATATTTGGGGGTCTGGGCACTGCAGATCCGTGTGCGCACGCTCTGAAAGAAATCCATGATAGATCGATGGCAGTAGAATAGTATGCAGCATGGGCCACATGACATGCTAGCTATATATGCTACAGCTGCTACTCCACTGCTCTACTCCATAGCTATCTAGAGCTGCATATGTTTTTGTTTTTCTTTTGACGCCTCAACTCTGTAGTATCTGAACTCACATATAACTCACATCACCACACACACTGACTCACACCACACACACCCTACACTACTGGATTCAGGTTCTTTGCCGAGTGCCTAAGGCACTCGGCAAAGGCCAAATTACACTCGGCAAAGCCTTTGCCGAGTGTGGCACTCGGCAAAGAACACACGGTAAAAATTTGATCGGTAAAGTCCTCTTTGCCGAGTGTCTTTTATCGGGCACTCGGCAAAGGCTTTGCCGAGTGCCCCAGTGACACTCGGCAAAGAAAAGCGACCGTCACGGCGCCAATCCCGTTGATGGTCACTTTGCCGAGTGCCAACCCTGCAGGCACTCGGCAAAGATTTTTTATTTTTTAAAAAAGAATTTCTTTGCCGAGTGCCAACCCTGCAGGCACTCGGCAAAGATTTTTTATTTTTTAAAAAAGAATTTCTTTGCCGAGTGCCAACCCTTCAGGCACTCGGCAAAGATTTTTTATTTTTTTTAAAAATTTCTTTGCCGAGTGCCAAGCCTTCAGGCACTCGGTAAAGATTTTTTTTTATTTTTTTTAAATTTTCTTTGCCGAGTGCCAACCCTTCAGGCACTCGGCAAAGAGTTTTAATTTTTTTTTACAAAATTTCTTTGCCGAGTGCCAAACCTTCAGGAACTCGGCAAATATTTTTTTATTTTTTTTTTAAATTTCTTTGCCGAGTGCCAAGCCTTCAGGCACTCGGCAAAGATTTTTTTTATTTTTTTTAAATTTTCTTTGTCGAGTGCCAACCCTTCCGGCACTCGGCAAAGATTTTTTTTTTATTTTTTTTAAATTTTCTTTGCCGAGTGCCAACCCTTCAGGCACTCGGCAAAGAGTTTTAATTTTTTTTACAAAATTTCTTTGCCGAGTGTCAAACCTTCAGGCACTCGGCAAAGTTTTTTTTATTTTTTTTAAAATTTCTTTGCCGAGTGGCCTCTAGCCGGCACTCGGCAAAATTTGAATTTTTTTTTAAATTTATTTGTCGAGTGCTCTGTGCCCGGCACTCGGCAAAGTTTGAATTTTTTTTAAAAAAAAATCTTTGCCGAGTACCATGGTCACAGCACTCGGCAAAGATTTTTTTATTTTTTTAAAAATTTCTTTGCCGAGTGCCCTCTGTCCGGCACTCGGCAAAGTTTGAATTTTTTTTAAAAAAATCTTTGCCGAGTGTCATGGTCACAACACTCGACAAAGCTGGAAAATGGTCTTTCTGGGCGCCTATTTTTTTCAGCTTTGCCGAGTGCTGTGACCATAGCACTTGGCAAAGGGGTCCTTTGCCGAGTGCAACACTCGGCAAAGTGACCCAAAACGACAATTTTTAATTTTTTTTTTACATTCCATCATGACAAATAAATTCATACAAACATATATCACATATATATCTCATCCATCACATATATATCTCATTCATCCACACATCCATCCACACATATCACATCCATCCAATACCAGTTTGCAGGATACAACAAGAATTTCCTGAATGAGAGACAAAAAAATTGCCAAAGATGATCTTCTAAACATGAAAGTTCAGGTATACACACACACGCTCAACACAGTTGTACACACACCTAGCTTTCTCTTCAGCTCTGACAACAGCTGCTTCTAGAATTACAGCATTTCCTCTAGCTTTTCCTAGTTTTGAGCGCCACACCTGAGCTTCTTGAAGAGCAGAATCTCTCTCTGTTAGCAAACGATCTCTCTCTTCAACAAGAAGCTTTGCTTTCTCCTCCGATTCCCTTAACTGAAACAAAAATACAGACAAGTTCAAATATTTTCATTGACATGAAACATTCTCATGGTGGTCTGAATCTAGTCTATAACACTTTAACTAATAAGCATTAGAAGATATGTGTACTGTATGCGATTGTTACCCTAAGCAAAACGTTCAAGTTCTGACGTAAAAAATCTTCTCTCTTCATCAATTGAACGTGCTGCAGAAGCAGCAGTTTCAACTGCTTCTGCAGTCTCCTGTAACTTCTCTTCAATTTCATTGATGGTAGAATCACGTGCACGAATATCCTGCAACAATTGGTGGAGTTCGTCGTCTTTAACTCGAAGGGTCTCCTGTTGGTCGCAGATGCATTGCCATTGCCAGAAAAATAGAAACAAGAAAATAATTTCAGTATCCAATCATCAAATTATAGCATATTATAGCAAATTATAACAGATGTTAACTAGAGGCTCGCAACGGTATCCAAGCGTCAGCAATAACAGCACAGGTTGGCTTTCTAGCTGTTTACTGCAGTAATTTCTATTGACATCGAGACAGGGAACCTGTACCAAACTGGAAATCCAGAAAGAAAGGGAAATGAAGGGAGTGGATTTACCGTGTCGGATCGCTTCAAGAGAGGGCCCTGGAGGAGGTGGCGGGTGGAGGTGGAGGAGAGCTGGCGCCGCACCCGGTCCAAGCTGCTCTGCATCTTGCCCACCACCTGCGGTCAGCTCGACGCAAGAGCGAGGAGCAAGAGAAATTCCCAGCAGCTCCCGGTGAGATCCCAGCTCAAATCATACGGAAACGCAAAGGAACCCGCCAGCGTCGGCCGATACCTGGCCCGATCCAGGGACAAGAGAGGAGTTGCCGGACTCACCGTGCTGCTGCTCCCGTTCGAGGCCATGGCTAGCTGCCGGAGCCGGCAGGACAAGAGGAAGAAGAGGAAGGAACCCCCTCCTCCTCCTCGCTTCCTCCTCGCCTCCTCCCCCTCCTCCTCCTCCTCCCCTCCTCCATCCGCCGGCGTTGGCGGGCCGGCGTGGGCGAGCTGGCCACGCGCGGAGGGGCTGCGGCTGCGGCGGGCGTGGGGAGTGGCTGCGGCTGCGGCGCGCCGGCGGGTGAGCGGGCGGGGCACGGCGGCGTGCGTGTGTGCGTGACTGTGCGTGTGTGGGACTGTGGGAGGGAGGGTTCGGTGGCCGGTTGTCTAGTGCGGATGGGCCCGATCTGGCGCTCGGCAAAGACGCCGGTTCGCCGAGTGACAGAGCACAGACACTCGACAAAGGGAACACTCTGCCGACTGTTTGACAGCTCTGCCGACTGTTTGACAGCTGGCACTCGTAAAGAGCATGACAAACTAATTTTTTTTTGGTATTTTGACCTCCAAATTTTTTCTGTAGTTTTCTTATAGTACTTGGTACTCCATGTTAAAATTTGGTATATTTCCCAAACTATTGGCTATATTTAGTTACTTTATTTTGTTTACTTGAATTTTTTGAAAAATATAAATTTGAATCTGCACGTGCATCGAATAATGGAATTTAATGATTCAAAAAAAATGATATTCACGTTCTTTGAGTGTAGTGTGAGGCCGTATCTGAGAGCGGACCCAAAATTTCGAACATCTTGTTCACAAAACATGACCACGAACTTGCAGAGACGAAGTGTTTATAAATTCTATAAAAAACAAGCGAAGTCGAAAATCATAAAACTTGTTGAGATATCGTGATCTCATATGTGGAGGCTATGATAAAAATTTGAAAATTTTTTGTTGCACGTTATCACGCACGATGCTTACAAGTTCAGACATCTCTACATGTGATATCGAGATATCACATGCGAGAGATGTCCGTGTAAGTATCGACGTGACAACGCACGAAATCTTCTGAAATTTTTATCATAGCCTCCACATATGATATCACGACATCTCAACAAGTTTCATGATTTTCGGACTTCGCTTGTTTTTATAGAATTTAAAAACACTTCACAGTAATTTCGCAGCGGACATATTTCGTGAACAAGATGTCCAAATTTTGGGTCCGTTCTCGATACTGCCTCTCACAACACTCACTAACATGACTATCAATTTTAAATCATTAAACTCCATTATTCGTACCACGCATCTTGATTCAAATTTCTAATTTAGGAAAAATTCAAGTAAACGTAAATAAAGTAACTAAATATATAAAAAGCCACAAAAATCCCCAAATTGTAACTAGGAGTTCTGGTGCTTTAAAAGGTCTCGCACAAAAAATTGGAGGCCAAAAAAAAAAAAAAAAAAACTTTGCCGAAAGTGCGGGGCATGGCACTTTAAGCAAAGTTTTCTTTGCCGAAAGTGCCGGGAATAAGGCACTTTCGGCAGAGTGTTTTAAATTTTTTTAAAAATTTCCTCTTTGCCGAAAGTGCATCCACAGGAGCACTTTCGACAAAGAATTTATAAAAAATTAAATCTTTGCCGAGTCTTAGTAGCGGGGCACTCGGCAAAGTAATTTAAAAAATTTTTGCCGAGCGCCAGATCTGTGACGCTCGGCAAAGAATTTAAAAAAAAATTAAATCTTTGCCGAGTGCCAGATTGGGGCACTCGGCAAAGAAATTTAAAAAAATTAAATCTTTACCGAAAGTGTCTCACGGCAGCGCCGCAAAGAAGGCCCGTGACCGAACGCCGTTTCATGGGCACCCTATCTTTGAGTGTAGAGATTTTTTCGAGATGTCGGCACTCGGCAAAAAGTCCTTTGCCGAAAGTGTCCGTGTTTGCCGAGAGTGCCCGCACTCGGCAAAGAACTCTTGCCGAGTGCAATTCTTTTGCCGAGAGTGCGAGACTTTCGATAAAGAATATCTTTGCCGAGTGCCCGATTTTTAACACTCGGCAAAAAATTTTGCACTCAGCAAAGTCTCTGTTTCCAGTAGTGCTATTGCACAAGCTAGATCTACACATATACGAAGAGACTGCACGTGGCTGAGAGACATCCGAAGTCAATCAGCCTTCGCACGTGACGGACACGTCAACGTTGGTGAGCACTGCGTGAGTGGAGACTCTTGGACGCGCACCTGGCGTCGTTGCCAACCGCACTACGTGCTTTGGGTGTATGTATGTGTATGCACAGCACAACCACAACCACATAGGATTAAGCTGGAACGGCGCATGGTGACCAGTGAGCAAAATTAAAGCGAATGGAGGTCGTCAGGCCGCATCATCAGCGAGCACATGGAGGATCCGAATCATATCATAGCATAGCATAGCATAGCATAGCAGCTATGGTGACTGCTGAATGATTTTCCATGCCGTTATCAGTAGGAGTTTTCGTCCTCGAATGATCTCTCAACTCTGATGACAGCCCCGTGGAGTTTTCCATATGTAGCACGCCAGCAAACGACTGTCAAGGCAACATCAACATTTGGTTTCACCCATGGGCCACGGCGCTTGCCACTTCGACACCAGGCCCAATAGCTACCATGCTGTCAAGTCCATTTTGAAGCATCATGGCCCATTCAAATATGAAAATGGCCCAAACAATCCGAGCCACATACATCTCTGAATGTACGTTTTTGCCATCTCCCCTTGATACGTGGGCCCGTGGGCCTCATCCAACGGATACGCTCATGGAGTGATGGAGAGTGATCATCATCACCAAAAAGTATAATTCAGATTAAAACAAAAAAATGTTAAAAAAGTTGTTCCAATCGAAGCTTAGAAAAACGCAAACGCTACCTCATTTCTGAAGAAAATATTCCAAGAATGTACGTACTTTGGCAGAAAATTATTGTTGTGATTAGCCCTTGGCTTATTTCCAGCAAAGATTTTATATCCTTTTATTTCATTTTTGGACAAATCCATGGTTCTTATCTTCACTCGATCAGATATAGAGTAGGTAGCACGTACTTACCATGCAGTATTCATATGACACATTATCAAATGATGATGATTGATGAGATATACGTAGCTACGTGTAAATAGCTGGATATATATGAATATGAATATAGATATACACATTCAAAGGTGTACATGTTTATAACATCTAAAATTGTGTTTACGACATTATAATGATCTCCCTATTTTTTTGAACAAAATTCCAGGGGATTCTTTTGGGGGTAAAATGTCACAAGCTGCATCAGGACTCTGAAGAAAGGCAAGAAGGCACGAAGAGTAAAGGCCAAGAGTGGCTAAGTGTGGCCTGTTGTCTTTAGGCCTGTATTGCTGGGTTTGGCCCATTAGGAGTAGGGGCTCGACCCATTTAGCAAGGAGATGAGTGAGTGCGGCTCATATAAGCCGTTGTAACCGAACAGAAGGGATCATCGAATAACAGAAACCATAACCGTTCCCACTTATGTTGTCTTCCTCCTCGAGTTCTTGCTCTCTGAACCCCTCCAATCTTACTCTTCAAACCCCTATGTTGCTGATTCTTCTCCAAATTCCTGTCCAAATCCACTTCTAGTTACCCAGTCCGTGACAAATTGGTATCGGAACCATCAATCCTCGGCAGAATTTTTTCCCATTCTCCTGGTTGCATCCGGTCTGGCGTCGAAGAAGAAGACTCCATCATTGCAGGCAAAGATGGCGAGCAACGTCGAGAACATTGCAGAGGAGATCAAGGGTTTCCAGCTCATGATGCAGCAGATGCTGGACAAGGTGAACGGGTTCGAGGCTTGGCGAAACACCACCGACAAGTCTCTGGGGCGCTGCTCACCAAGACGACGGAGACAGCGACGCAGATCACCCATGTGGAGAAGGTTCCGACTCCACCGCCACCACCACCACCACCTCCTCCACCAGCTGGCTAGATCCCAGGCGACGTTGACCTCAATCGTGTCCCATCACCAGGGGCGCACCCATCCGCTTCTTCGGCGGAGCAGCCCAATGGGCATAGCGTGGGCGAAGGGGTTCTTGGCCCGATTTCAGGATCCAACCCTCTGCTGGTTAATCACCAGGGTACGCATCCCAACCCCTCTGTTCATCTTGTTGATGATTCATCTGGTTTATTGTCTCATACATCTCGTACGGGTTTCACGCCCAAAATAGATTTTCCCAAATTCAACGGCAACAATCTGAGGCTCTAGCGGGAGTAGTGTGAGATTTACTTTGAGATCTATGGAGTTTTAGAGATGATGAAGACGAGGTTTGCTACTCTGAACTTTATGGGTACAACATCGCTGTGGCTTTAGATAGTGCAGTCGAGGGGTTGATTTTAGAATTGGGAAGCTATGCATACTGCAGTTGTGCCCATTTTGATAAGGATCAGTATCCTCTGCATGTGAAATAGTTAGAGAATTTGAGGCAAACTGGTTCTGTAGCTTATTATTAGGCTCGGTTTGAACAGCTCGCTTATAGCATACTTCTTTACAACCCTACATGGAGACAGCGACACGGATCACCCATGTGGAGAAGGTCCTGACTCCAGCTCCACCACCATCGCCACCTCCTCTACCAGCTGGCTAGATCCTAGGTGGCGCTAACCTCAATCGTGTCCCATCACTAGGGGCTCACCCATCCGCTTCTTCGGCGGAGCAGCCTAATGGGCATAGCGCGGGCGGAGGGGTTCTTGGCCCGATTTCAGGATCCAACCGTCCATTGGTTAATCACCAAGGTACACATCCTAGCCCCTCTATTCATCTTGTTGATGATTCGTCTGGTTTATTTTCTCATACATCTCATGCGGGTTCCATGCCCAAAATAGATTTTCCTAAATTCGGTGGCAACAATCTGAGGCTCTGGCGGGAGCAGTGTGAGATTTACTTTGAGATCTATGGAGTTTCAGAGATGATGAAGATAAGGTTTGCTACTCTGAACTTTGTGGGTACAACATCGCTGTGGCTTTAGACAGTGCAGTTGAGGAGTTGATTTTAGAATTGGGAAGCTATGCATACTGCAGTTTGTGCCCATTTTGATAAGGATCAGTATCCTCTGCATATGAA